TATGTGGTTTTGGGGTTGTTTTTATTATTTAACAAAAACCCAGGGAGAGAATCCTCCTTCCTCCTGGGAAAATACTTAATGGGTTTTCAAATGAGCAATGAGGTTTTATGTTGTAAAATAATCTTGTGGGAGTAGTTGTGAGAGCCCAATTACTTTCTCATATTTGCAGGATTGTAGAATGTTAAATGTGCAATAGAAAACAGTCTCGTAGTAGTAGAACAATGGATGAGGTAACACATTAGACTTTGCTATCTGTGACAACAAATTCGGGCATTTTATACAGTCATTAGACGTGGCATTTCTTTTCTTGATAAATTTTAAAATTTGAGCATCTTTTTTAGCTCTCTTTTTTGATTGCTAAGTATATTTGTGACTACTGTATGACTACTGTATTCATCTCTTTGTCAGAACTGTTGTGCTTTGAGGCCTTGTACATCCTGTTTCTCCAGGTTACTCATTATGAAGCTAAATACTAGTGGCTTCAGGATGTGCAGCATTTGTCAGAAATCATTGCTTTACTCCTGAAGGAAACTAAATTGCCCTTTCCTTATGACAATGTTCATGATTTTAACTAAAATGATGGAACACTTTTTTAAAAGTTACATTACTTTTGAAATTGTGGGAAAATACAGGATCATAAAATCATAGAATAGTTTGGGTTGGAAGGGACCTCTAAAGGTCATCTAGTCCAACCCCCCTGCCGTGGGCAGGGACATCTTCAACTAGATCAGGCTGCTCAGAGCCCCGTCCAACCTGACCTGGAATGTTTCCAGGGATGGGGCATCCACCACCTCTCTGGGCAACCTGGGCCAGTGTTTCACCACCCTCAGCGTAAAACAGTTCTTCCTTGGATCTAGTCTAAGTCTACCCCCCTTTAGTTTCAAGCCATTCCCCCTTGTCCTGTCGCAACAGGCCCTGCTAAAGAGTTTGCCACCATCTTTTTTAAAAGCCCCCTTTAAGTACTGATAGGCTGTTGTCAGAATTCTGCCACAGAGCTCAGTGCTGGAGTTGCCACTAGATTGAAGCTGTCATTTAGCAACATAAGTCCAGCAGAATGTCAGAAACACTTGGATAGCACTTTTAAGTGAAAGGGGTTACAAGACACAAAGGTCTGGAGGCATTTGCCAAAATCAGAAATGTTCAAACCTGGCAATTAAATATGTTTTGCTTTTCTATAAATTTATTTATTTGTGTATGTGTCTTCAGGATGAATTTAAGAGGTGTATGAAAGGCACAACTATTGGCTATGTTACTGCTAGGTCTCAGCCATTTCTTTCAACTATCTGAAAAAATACCACGAGTTTACCAGACTTCCTAATAAATAGGCAAGTTTCAAGTTAATGCTGCCATCACTTCATGGTTGCTTATTCTTTATTCAGATGGAAAATGAGATTGGTAAGAATGAATAGTTATAAAACTTGAAAATAGAGACTTCAATTGCCCAGAACTCTGCTAGAAAAGGAAAACAACACAAACTGTGCAGGAATTTCATAAAATCTGTGAATTTTTTTTTGTTTGTTAAACAAAGCAGATTGTTAAAGGACAGATTTGTGTACATTTGGTTCTAAACCCTAGTGAAAAATCAGTTGAGAATATGAAGATAGAAAGCAATTTATTTGAGACTGACTTGGTAATGATACAATTCACTTACCAAGCATTGTTAGGAAAGGAAGGAGGAAGAACAACAATAAAAACTAATATTGATAAGATACCACGAGGAGCAAGTTTGACGGGGAAAAAAGAGGTAAGGAGAATTGATAGCTCTTTCAGTTATTTAAAAACAAAACCACAAGATACTCGCTGAGAGGCCAAGTTGGATAAATTAAGAATTCTTCATTACCTTCGGTCACTAGAGTGAAAGAAAGGGAAATTAATATTACCAAGAGCAAGTATAGGAGAACAGAAGTATAGAAAAGTATAATAGAATAGCACAAAGGGGTAAATAGAAAAATCAGAAAGGCAATGCACGAATTAAGTTATAACAAGCAACTATTGTCAATTGTATCAAGAAACAGTTTTATATAAATAAACGCAGTAATTGGGAAACTAAAGAAAAATTTTTATACTAGGCGGAAACCAATTGGCACATGATGCAAGAAAATATTGTGGCATTTAATGTCCTTTTCGCCCCCCTCAAGCTCTGTTAAGGTGGTAAACTGTGTCAAATTGCTAACAATACTTGTGGAAAAGTGAAAGGAGTCACACCTGAGCAGGGAAGAAAAGTTTATAAAGTAGTTATCAGTTCCAGGGGATTTAGAACTATATACGTTTCATTTGGGATGTCTAGAGAAGCCATATCACATGTTAGTGATAATCACTGGAAAGACGGGTAAGGTTCCAGAATACTGGCAAAGGGCAAGCATACTTTACATCTTTAAAAAAGGTGATGGAGGCGGAGGAGCTAGTAATCATTATCTCTCTGTAAAAAATGCTGGAAGAGAAAAAAAAAAAATCCCATTATTTGCAACAAGGAGGTGAGTAATAGTGACTGTGAACTTGTTCAGAATAAGCAATTTTTAAAAGTTCCAATTTACTTCCAGAACATAAATGAGTCTAATGGATAGAGGAAAAGCAGATGATGCCATATTTAGATTTTCATAAAGATTTTAATTGTTTTTTTAATTGAAATTCTCCTAAGGTTGTTAGTTCTAGATGAAATTACTGTAAACACAAAGCTAATTAGAAAACCCATACTCAAAAAAAAGGGTGAAGAATGGTTGTCAGTAATTTGGTTAAATAGGAGGAGGGATGAATTAGCTTCATTTCTTGCGGTCATCCTCCATTTTGTAGTGCTTCATGTTTCATTAATGACTAGATGATGAAATAGGGAGTATGCTTACTAAATATGCAAATACCACAAAGTTGGAAGTGGTAGTACATGGGACGAAAGGATCATAATTCAAAATAATGTAGAGAAATTTGAAGAAATTATCTGAGAAGTGTAGGATACAAGTGAGAATCATAAATGCAAGGTTTTAACTTCTGCAGTCAATTGTTGCTTCTGAAGTACAGGTTGGGATGCTACAAGCTTAGGTGGTTTTGTAGGAGAAGATTTGAGTATTATAATGGAATCACAGGCTGATTTAATTAATCTTTTCATGTTAATGATGGATAAGACAAGAATCAGTTGGCCTAGGTTACAATGACAAGGATTCAGTTTAAGCATCAGAAAGCACTTTGATGAAGAAGGATATACTGAAATGGATAGTCTTATCTGTTAAAGTTTGCACAACCTTAACAGGCAACTGTCTTTTGGGAAAAATAAAGGTAAAACTGTTTTTTTGGGGTTTTGGGTTTTTTTTTAAGGAAGATGGATAACTTCTGAACAGTCCTATTTTTATATCGCCTCACAAGGCTTTTTGGGTTGGAAGGGGCTTCAGGGGAGATCTAGTCAAACTTCCTGCTCAATGCAAGGTCAATGCTGAATTCAGACTAGGCTGCTCTGAGCTTTGTCCAGTTGGATCCTGAAATTCTTCAAGGAGAAAAATTGGGTCGCTGCTCTAATGCTTGACTGCCTTGATGGGGTTATTTTTTTTCCTTGTTGGAAAGTTAGGGTATCCCATGTTGTAGTGTATGACCACAGTATTTTGTCCTCCTGCTGTGCAGCTCTGTAAAGAGCCTGGCTGTGTCACCTTGGTGATAACTGCATAGTCATTGGGAGGCTGCCATCAGGTCACCTCCAAACCTTCTCTTCTACAGACTAAAAAAGCTGCATTCCCTCCATCTCTTCTCATACAGCATGTGCTCCAGCTCCCAGCAGCTTTAGGGGTCCTTTCGTGAATGGGGTGCAGTATTTCAGATGTAGTTTAATGAATTCTGAGTAAAAAGGAATAAATGTTATTCTCAATCTACTGGCTACATTCCTGTTAATAGAAACAGTAAATTGTTAAATGTCCTTGCTTGCCAGAGTGCTCTCCTGACTTATGTTTGGCTTGCTGCTTAGCAGGACCCTGCCAGTCAATTCCCAGCCGATACCGTGGAAGGATTAGCCTGTCCCAGGTGCAGGACTTGCTGTATTTGTCCATGCTGCATTTCATAAGGTTCCTTTTAACCAATTCTTCTGGATTGCCTAGATCCCTCTGAATGGAAGTATCTTCCTTGAATACCTTGACTGCTGCCTGCAATTTAGGATCATCTGCGAATTTATTAGACTGCATAGGTCTCAGGATAGACCTCTGAAGAATACATTCCATCAACCACTACCTTTTGAGCCTGACGATCCAACTGTTTGTTTGGGGTTTTTTTACCAATATAGTTGGTCTATCCATCCAGCTGTAACTTCACAACTTGGGTAAAGGATGCTGTGGAAGACTGTGGTGAAGGCCTTGCTGAACTCAAGATAGACAACAGCCACTAGTCTTCCCTCATCTACAGATCTGGTCATTTTACCCTAGAGGGCAATTAGGTTGGTCAAGCATGATTTACCCTTGGTAAATCCGTGTTGACTATTTTCAGTCACCCTCTTGTTCGTGTACCCAAAAATGGCTTCCAAGAGAGCGCATATGCTTTGGGCACTTTGCCTAGCCAGAGGCAAGGGTACGTAAGATTAACTCGGTCACTGGTTGTCTGTATTGTAATAGGGTGGTCCTGAAGCATAAAAGCAGAGAGTTAGTGAAGTCTAGTCTTTTGATTGTGAAAAATTTAAAACCTGATTTTTGGCCACTTATTGTTACAGGTTTACCTAAACGCGCGCTCTGTAAGCAGCTGTGTTCGCTGAGGAAAACTGTAGCTCTTCGGCCCGCCTCTCATATTTCTGTTGCTTGAGTTTATCTCCCACTTTCTTACTCGGATTTAGAGATGAATTTTAGTCAAAAGAAGCCAGGACACCTTGAGCAGCTTAAATAACTGGTCTTTTCTATGCCAGCTGATTCTGAGTGGTTGCAGGTGACAAAAAGATTAAATAGGCAGCTCAACTGCCTAAGCTTAGAGGGTTTTAACATTCAGAAGACAGTGCAGTAGTTAGACAAACAATGGAGCGGAAGATCATTATTTCTTCTGCTGACAGTGTGAAAGAGGACGTTTTTATAACTGTGAGTGTAAACAGATGTCAAAATATGCCATTTAACTTAATATCTTCTTGATTTAGTCTCATTATGAAGATTATCTCTCCTTTTGTGGTAAAAAGTCTTGGTTTTGTTCTGTGTGAAAGACAGTGGCGTAGTTTGGAAAAAGTATTGCTGAATACATTTTGTGGACTATCTTTTACTTCTTTTGAAGCTATGAGGTTATCAACAGATCATGCTGGTCCTGCTACAGAGTGTGTATGTTTGGTCAGAATAAGATGTTGGGTATGTAATGAAAGGATAGAGAAGGGGGTGAATGAAGAGAATATTTATTAACATGTGGTAGTGTTAATGTCAATATTTAAGTTTAAAATTATGTTAAGTTAAGATGAATGTGTGTAGAACAGGCATGGCAGAATCATTAATGATATGGTTTTTAAAGCTCTTTGAAACCTTTTCAATTTAGATTAGTATTTAAATCTCCCTTTGGGAGATTAAATCAGTTCAGTGAGACTTGCAGTCCATTTTCTGATTATAACATCTCCTTCTAGCATAAAGGGCTTTAAATACAGGATCATCCTCGTGATTTCTGTTTCAGAGATGTAGCTCTTTATACTGATGCTTCTTTACAGGTGTTGGCCAGATGAAATTGTAGAAGAGTCTTTAACCATTTATCAGGATTTCATTTTCTGATCAGAGCAAAAAGTTTAAACAAAGTTTAAAATCCATCCTTCTTTCTAGATGTCTGTGTTTTTTAAGAAATGCACTTTTTTATAGACAGCACACTGTAGATGAGGATTAGTGGTGAAGTCTCCCCCTGTTTAGCAAGAGAACACAGATTATACAGCATAGGGTGATGGACTTTTCAAAAAGAAATGCTTTTACAGTGTTGGAAGTTCTGTCTAGCTTGTGACAGCCATTTACGTTAAAAGCTAAAGTAAATACCACCTGTAAATTCAAGTAGTTAGGCTAAGAAATGGCTTAACTGAGAAAAGTGTTTAGGAAAGCTAATGGTCTTGTGAGTTATAATATACTGTGAAAAGTTGGTAATAATCATGAACAGTCATATTTTAAAATTGCTGTTCTAATGCTACACAGATATAATGTAAATATTTCTTACTTTCAAAAAGGTTTAAATTTTACTATTTTGTATCTCCACAGCATTTGTCAAGTAGACACAGTGTCCAGCAGAGCACATCGCAGGTAAACATCATCTACATAGGAATTTTTGTTGTCTTTAAGTGTTTGGTAATGTATGTAAAGGTATGATGGAGATTATTGGGTAAGTCCCTACCCATAGAACACTTCCTCAGAAGATCCCCAAGTAATTAACTTAAGGTCCTTCTTCAACTTCCATTTAGGCCTCTTTTCCTTAGCTCTGACTGTTGTTCTTAAAAGATCAACTTCTGTAGTGATATCAAAAGCCTCAGTCTGCCCATGTGAGTCTTCTTTCCACCTGCTAACACATGGCTTAGGAGGCTTCTGTTTCACATATCCTTTATGTAGTAATGTAATCCTTTCCTGGTCATGATATCTGGGTCTAATCTTTCCAGGAGAACGGTGCTTCCACAGGTACCTGTCTTTAAAGGATGAGGATTTACTTGGACTTAATTTAAAATCTGGAACAAAATTCATTTTAAGCTCTATTTTTTAAGCTAGTAGAAGTCTGGGTTGAAAGTCTGAAAATGTTAAGATTTTCTTTGTTAGTTTGTACCTGCCTACACATTCAGAGACTAGTCTAGGGAGCTTAGGATATTCATGCAACCTGTTTATTAAGATCAGCATACAATGGATATAAAGGGCTATAAAAAATTAAAGAATAATTTTATTTCTAATTATACTTCTTTTTTTTTCCTCCGCCCCAGTTTTCACTGTTGTAAATAGGTCTTGATATACTGAGTCAAAATGTAAACCTTTCTGCTATTTGACTTTATTGGTTGCTCATGTTATCAACCATTGTTAAGATTTCTCTTTGTTATACCTGCAGGGCATATTAGCCTGTAAATGACCTCCATAAATGAATTGCAGCTGCTGAAAAGAAATAACATAACAAATGTTGTACTTAAAAATGCTTTGAAGTCCATCTGCTTTAAATGGAAATCATCAAGAACCACCCTAGCACCATCTTATTATAGTTCATTTTCAGTCCCAGAATCAAGGCAATATTTGAGAAATAGGGTTGACTTAGTTTACTGGATAAAAATAGATTTCAAATGCATAAACCATCTATCTCATATTTACTTGGTTATCGTGGTTTCTCAAAGTATTAAAATTAAAAGCTAAAAAAATAGAGGAAGAAAACTTAATCTGGCATGTGTTTTTAAGGTAGAATATATTTGAGATTAAGCTTTTACTTGATGGAGAAAGGGGAGCAGAATCTCAGTTAAAATCATCAAGTCGATCACGTGTCTTTTATTTGTGAAGAACTAAAAAATCATTTTCATCGTTTTTAATCAGGTGGATACAATTCGTCAGCGTCATGGGGAAGCTTGCCGTATGCCAGTGCCTCATCACTTCTTCCTCAGTCTAAAGAGCTTCACCTACAATACAATTGGAGAAGACACAGATGTCTTTTTTTCTTTGTACGACGTTCGAGAAGGCAAGCAGATCAGGTAGGACTGTGTCAAATAACTAAAAAGCTTCCTACGAAAAAAATTATGAACAAAGCAAATACGTTGGAGAAAAACATGTGAGCTATTCTTGTGACACAACTGAAAGGAGAAAGCTGATAAATCGTAAGTTGACAGCCCAGCAATGCATACATGAGAATATCAGTAATACTAATCATTGTATATGAAATTTAGTGCTTATGTATAAGCAAAGCATTAAAGGCACGGAATAGCTGAATTTTGTTTAGGTTTCTGACTCGGCCTCCACACATTACTGAAGGTCTTAATGTTTAGTAGCTGCCTTCTTAGGGCTCTTGTTTAAGAAGAACTAATAATGGCAGGGCCACGCTGTATGACTGTTTTGAAAAGAGGACTGCTGTGTGTTTGGGTGTTGAATTGAGGCTCTTGAACTCTCATCCATTCTTTGCCTTAAGTCATGTTACAATATAGCTTGTTTTCATTACTCTGTTGCTATCAATATAAACTAAAGTATTCATATTCATCCCTATGTCTAGGCTGGACAACTGTGCTGCTCAGTACGTTGAGGTAATTGGTACTAATGTTAGCAAATATGAAATGTGCTGTATTTTTCCTTCACAAGCATGTGTTTTGAAAACATCACAATATGTAGAAGAGTATTGAAGCATATGCATTGTGTCTTGGAAATTAAATAAATGTAGCTTGGTCTACTCTAACATACAGCATGTTTGTGGGGGTTTTTTGAGTTTTGATTAAGGCATGTCCTGACAGTTGGCACAGACCGTGTTTGCTACCGTGGTCAAAACTGTCCTAGTTTTCAGCAAAACAGATTTAGATTTGTTCCAAACGGAGGAAGGAGCCCCAAAATGTTCTTTCCTGTCTTTGGAAGAACATTATTATGTGAATAATGTTCATCCAAGAAAGTTCAGAGTAGAGTGGTAAGTTTTGTAGCTCTTCAGAATACATCCCACTAAAAAAGTGGTCTATATTAGAAAGCTCTAATGACTTGATTGCGTCTTATAAATATGTGTCTGCCACCGTTTAGTTAGGTAACTTGAAGATCATTTTGCAGAACATGGCAAGAATGCCTAATCTGATACTACATCATGTTTATTTCACGCCCACTAAGTGAGAAATGCTTGTTTTGATGTAATTAGGAGGACATGCCTATAATTCCTCTATTAAGAGAACTAACATAAAATAGCTGTTAAGAGGAAAAGGTGCAAATGGCAAATCAAAAGAGAACAAAATTACTCACAATTAATTAGTTCATACCACAAAGCAGTAAAATACCAAATTATTTAGATGAGGAAGGCTGCAGGGAAGAGGAAGGGACAAGCTGCTGCTATGACTGAGGAAGGCCTCAGAAATTGCTTCAAAGGAGATGAGTTGTCTTGGGCTGCAGTTTCCATAGTATGTAAACATTGAGTGGGAAAGCCTTAAGAAGAGGTTTTGCCAGTGATGATAAAAAAAATAATAGTTACAATGAGAAAAAGTAGAAAGAGTGGTTCAAGTGTATTTAAATATATATAGTGCTTTAATGTGCAAACAGTTGTTATTACTTAGCTCTTCATATTACGCATCAGTGATCTGCTGCAGTGAAAAGAGCATAATTTTTACATTTTCTTACATCCCCAAGAGTGGTGGGGAAGAAGTGCGTGATGAGGCTAAGCTCTGTTTTAGAGAAGAAACTTAAAAACAGAAAACTGGCAAACACATTTAGAATTATATTTTTATATCTACTTTCAAAGATTAAGTTTCTTTCCTCTTCTGTATGCCTCAGGAAATAGCACACTAAAATAAAAAAAACAGGCAGAGCTTCTGCACACTGCATTCTAAATGGAAAGGACAAATTGACTTTTCTGAAATGGTTTCGAGGTTGATAAATTTCTTATCCAAACAGTTCACACTGGAGATTGACTGGCTTTCAGTGTTAGTGCTTTGGACATATAGTAGATTACAAACCTCATTGAACCTGTTGGTTGCAATAGTTATTTCCCAGTTAGGTTAAGTGAAGAATCAGTGAAAGTTCCAGTGTTCTTTCAAGAGCCAAAGTAATGACATGTACCAGTTGTGGATTAGCAATCAGAAGGTTGGAGCAGCAGCTGAAATACAGTTTGACATGTATTCCCAGGTTCTGAATACAAATACAGTACTGTACTGTGTTTAATGGCTTGTGCTGTCTAAAAATGAGAAGGAGACAAAAGATGACAGTGGGGAGATACAGATAGCAAGAATAACAATGCTGCTATCAGAGGGGTAAGACCGAGAGGTAAAAAAAAAAAAAGGAAAAAGTGACTTAATTTTTACTCTGACAGGATTATGAAAAGAAATACTTGTAAGTAAATAGAACTGGATCGATGAATGTCTGCCTCAATAACTTGTTTCAGCCCACCACAGAAACAACCTGTCAATCTGAGTATTAGGTAATGGCTCAGGTCAAAAGGGATGAAAGTCTATTTGTATGTTTTAAAGTATTTGGGATTTTTTTTGTTGCAAAAATTGTCCCATATTTTTACATAGGAAGGGCATTAGTCTAGCAACAAAATCTTTGTCACTAAACTGTAATACCTCAGTTTTTTTGCTATGTGCAAGTTAGCAGAAAACAATGAGAAAATTGATCTAGTTTTGGTTACAGCCAATGGGGAAGTACAGCCCCATTGTGAGAAATACCTTGGGATGAATGATCATGAAATGATGGAGTTGATAGTAACTAGAAAAGGGAAGAAAGAAAATGTTAACGTAAAGATGGTGAACTTCAATATGAAGGCAGGTGCCAATAAACATAAAAAAAAGATAGGTAAACTGATATGGGGGAAAGAAATTTGAGAGTTGTCAGTTCCTTAACAATACTGTTGAAGAGCGCAAAAGCAAATTGTTTCAATACAAAGGAAAGATTATATCAACAACAGAAAGTCCATATCACGTATTCTTTGGTGAAATGGAGTCTGGAAGGTAATATAAAAAAAGGAGAAATTAATGAAATTACACAAATGGATGGGAAGACACAGAAACCTGTAGAAAAAATGCAATTAGCAAAAGACATCAAGGACAAAAAAAGACTAATTCTGTAATGCTTTAGCAGCAAAAAATTTTTTACAAAATCAAGCAATAACTGAACAAATTAAAGGGGACATTGAGCTACCAGCAGATGTTATCAAAATAGCTGGAGTATTTAATAGCTGTTTTGCCTCAGTCTCCCTAAGGAGGTCAACTGCAATCAGATGACAAATGCAAAAAGTTCTGGAACAAATAAACTGTTTATTAGCACTTAGAAGCTAACAAGACGATAAGTAAAAGTCAACATAGATTTGTCAAGCACAAGTCACATCAGAGCCAACTGATTTTGTTCTCTTATATGGGAATGCACCTCATGCCTCAACAGAAGAGAAGCATTAAACTTGATATGGTAAAGCAAGGAGATACAGACTAGATGAAACTACTGTAAAGGGGCTGGAAAACTGGTGGAAAAACTAATCCAGAGTGTTATCTGTGCTGGAAGGATGCAATGAATAAGATTTTTTTTTTTTTTAATTTTTTTAAAAAACATTTTTACAGCATTATTTTGATGGGCGGGAATAAACTAAATTCAGTAAAGCAGTGACGTTTAGCTACCCTTCCAATAGCTCTTTTTTACTAATAAATGCATAAAATCATGCATAACTTCAAAAATTACACGTTCAAAAGCATGATACCCATTTTTTTCTGAAAATGAGCTTGAAGAATCCACTAAGTATGAAAAAGGATAAATAAATTTCAATATGATTTTTTCTTTATAAAGTTTATGTTTAAACATGTAAAGGTTTTTTATTCTGTCTGCATCTTAAGCCAAAATAGATGTTTCTAGCACTGTTTTACCAGTTACCCTATTTTACTCCATTGAGGCTTAAAAGTTTCTTGTCATCTAGAAATATCCTTAATTATGGAGAGTGAATAGAACAAAAAAGAAATTCTGATGTGATTTAATTTGAAAAACTGGGGCCTAATCAGTAATTATGCATGGAAAATAAGTGTCGTGCATATTTCTGCTTGTAACTCCTCCGTCTGCCTACTTAACTGTCTCTTTACCATGCCTGTTATAAGAGACCTCCTCCTGACTGGAGATTTTGGAAGATGTGATAAGTATCCGTGGCAGTGTTGATAGCTTTGGCAGAGGAAGTCCTTGCGTACATTTCTCATACAGAATATACTCAAGACCTTTTTGTTGTAACACCAGATTTTCTGTACGGTGTCCACAGAAGGCATACGTTTGCTGATGATCTCCTCTCTTTAATACATGGCGTTAGGAGAAGGCCTTACGATCTTTCAACTGGTCTGCTGAGTCAGAATGCAGCACAACCTGGGGTTTTTTATTTGGTTGGTTGGTTGTTTCTTTCTGCATAGTGTCTTTTCTTGCTGTCGGTTTATTTTGATATTGCATTCTGTGGAGTACGAGGATGGCCCATTCCAACGTGCAGATAGTCAAGCAGATACATCAGATTAGCTACCTGGGAGAAATAAGAAATTGCCTGGGCATGCAGAGACAGAATTAGAAAAGCGAAAGCTCAGCTGGAGTTGAATGTAGAGAAGGAGAGAGAAGGATACACACACACACACATATGCACACACAGCTTCTGTAGGTACATTGGCAGCAAATGGAAGACAAAGGAAAACATGGCCCAAATGCTCATGCCCATATATGCAGGGCAGTATATGATGTGACATGAAGAAAAGGTAACTAAGAACAGTGGCTGTTTTAAGTAATGAATATTTTCAGCTTAACTGTAGTAGTAGCAGCAACAGGTGGCTGTACATATTTTTAGATGTAAATTTATAGTGGAGATTGGCAGCTAAGAACATTTACAATGACATGGTAATGAAACTCTTAAGATTTTTGTCATTGATGTTGTATTTTTGTAATACATGCACGAAGACAGACATTGAAAGCTTTATTTTGGTTTTGGAAACAAAGAAACAGAGGAATTCCTTAACAATTTTTCAGAATATTGCATTCTTTTTCTTCAATTCATGTGTAACAAGGTTAC